GGGTATCAAATTAAAGAGGAAATTCTATAGAGTTTAAACAGATTCATGTTTTTGGTGCAGAAGGACTAGTAAGTATTGAAAATGTCCTTTTAAAATTTTATCCTTGCGTTTTCGCAATATTTGTTTTTGAAAAAAATTATATGTTAAGGACTTATATAAACTCGATAACATCCTCGAATTTCGTCCTTCTAACCTTATCAGCTTAAAAAATTACCGACCTATTCGTTCTTGTGAATCCAAAAAATTTTTAACTATTTTAAATTCTAAAGAAATTTTCTCTTGCATTTGTGGTACCCATATTTTTATTCTACATTGCATTGAATTTTTTAATTAATTTTTGTAATTAATCATATCTTTAAGATTAGAAAGTCCTTTAAAATAAAACCTGACGATAGAGAGAAAAAATAAAAACGCCCATTTATTTATTATTTATTTTATGGTAGGAGAGCTTCTCAAACAATATAGAAGCAATTTTTGTCGATTTAAGTTGCTGAAAAGTAATGTATATCCAAATCCCGAAAGTAATTCCGGGATTCCGGGATTGTCATAACGAAATCCCGAAAATCCCGGGATCGGAAAAGCTGAAAAATTAACATGTAGTATGGATACAAACGAGTAAACCCTACAAGACATTGCTGAGCACTGAGGCAAAAATGCTAAAACATTTAAACTTTTGTTTTTGTAGTGTGGCTTGTCACCGTTTAAGAGTTGCTCATTGGCTTTAATTCTCATTTAAATGTCAATATACATTAAACTAAATATTCGCTATACGTTGGAAAATTATTGGCTCTCAATAATAACGCTAAATCTAATCAAATAAAATTCAGCTGGGTACCTCTTTCCTTTTGCAAACCTACTTCGTTATTGGGCTTAAGGGTCGCATGGCGTGTGCACTAGCAAATCAGTTTGACACATGTGCATGAATACACTGCCATGCATCTGCATGCATGTATTAGGGTGGACCTTAAAACATCTAAGTTTTGTATGGGGCTGACCTTTATTTTGTTTCTATGTACAAAATAAAGACATTTACGAAAATTGCAAAATTAAACAAAAATCTAAATTATGTCGAATCTCCACAATTTTTTTTAATTTAAGTTTTTTTTGAAACCACAAAAGTTTGTTACAAATTTTTAAATTATCGTGGATTTCTTTTTTTTTGGTTTTACGAACAAAATAAGGAAATCCACGAAAATTTACAAATTTTTAACAAACTTTTGTGGTTTAAAATAATTTGAAATTAAAAAAAAGTCGCGGAAATTCGACAAAATTTAGATTTTTGTTTAATTTTAAAATGTAAGTATATTCATACTCTATGATTTTGTTATTTTAAGCACCACCCTAGTATGTAGTACATACATAGATGTATTTTTTCATAAATGCCTGCTGTTTGCCACATGTGTGCACTAACCACATTCGCCAATTTACTATTCGATTCTTCATCCACCCGCTCTTATAAGAAAATGCGGTACAGCTTAGCGTTTGTTTGTTCGTACCCCGGCAAGCACCAGCAGCTGTATAGACAGCACGTGCAGCACTGAAACGTGTTCCTTGCGAATCTTCTCTCTCATTAGGTACTTAGAATGATTTTCCACAAGAATGATTGCTTCCGACGGACGGACGGACTCACGCGCATAAGCGTGTGCATGAAATATTGATACCTTTGCACATCTTTGCTAGTCAACAGATGAACATTTATTATACATATGTATGTATGTATGTAGCTCGCTTTCAGATGCTTCTCTATTATTTATTTGTTTGTTTGAGTTTTGGGTTACTCCAGTGCAATGGCCTCGTGCGAGTCGGCCTGCGAATAAAACTACAAATCCTTGATACTGATTTTGTGTTCTTAGCCTTACCATAATGCACGTACATACCTACATAAATACATACATATGTATTTACTTACAAACTTTATTTTTGGATTAGAATCTTTTGAATCTGTTCATCTTGGATTTGTATTCTACCTGCCTATTTGTTTGTCTTCATACCTTGGGTTATGTATGAGTCATCATGAGGGCTGATGTCACAAACGCACACGCAAGCCTTGTTGTTGTGTTGAATATATTCATTGTAGCTTAGCAGTGCGATAAAATTTATGCCAGTTTTAATATCGTTTTTGTTTGGTCTCGCAAGGCCATATTATACTTATGTGAGCACTTTTGACAAAAATCAACCGATTTCACCTATCAAACGCTAAATTTTACATTTGTATACTAACAAGTTATATTTCCAAAGAGCAAAATCGCAATAGTTATACGAGTAGAGCAAGATGGATTGACGCATTGAGTACTGGGTAAAGCGTTTCCATACATAGTGGTATTTTGGAAAACCCCGAAAACAAAGGAGTAAAATACGGTGTTTACAAGAGACGATTTTATAGGCAACTTTCGAGCCGATTGTTTTAATCAAAAGTTGACTGCCTCCCTAACTTCGTTGGAAGCAATTAGTTGAAAGGCCGTTCACCCCAGTCGATTACTGTTTTTAACTAAAAGTTATCTGTAAAATCGCTGTTCATGTAAACACCTCATTGTAAGATAAAATAATCGACTTCATAGTGGTCGCCCGCCCCTACGTAACCAAGGCTCGAATCGCGGTATTCGCGTTCGTATAAAACCCAGTTCGATATGTATTTCTATTTTGAAATTATGGCAGCAGATAACGAACTAAATTTTTTTATCTATATTGTATTGGAGAGAAAACAGCTGTAATTTCATTCCATACGATTCGAAACGAGTGATCATTCGATCACGGATGCCGTGATTCGGGCCTAGATCGATATTCGAGAATTCAGTCCTGAACCATCAGCTCAGCAGAGTTCCAAAAGACTGTCAGTTGGGATAATATGATGCAATATTCAAAGTATTCTGCTGCTTCCTCTGCAATTATAGTCATCGATAAGAACCGGATAAGAAGGGGCAGAACAAATTTAGCTATGTACATTAGACATATGACCTTTTTTTGATTTAAAATAAAGATTTTTCGTGTTGAATTTTTACAAAAACCTTATTTTTGCTGGTTTTTCATCATTACTCATTCTCTCCTCCTAGATATGTGTGTATATTTAATTTACAAAAAGTCATATGCCTAATGTACATATTAGATAGAGCGCCAATTCGAAGAATGCGGTATGTATGGTGACGGATGTTGCTAATATAACTTGATTGAGGAGTTGAGTTTTCGTAGCATTGTTTTCTTGGCAGATCTCAGAGTGAGGCCTGTTTGCTTAACGCAAAAAATATTCGTTGCCCAAAATGCATTGCCAGAACTTGAACTAAAGTAACATTGCTATTATTTTTTTTTTACAAATGTGTTGATCCCTACACTACACTATACTAAGTTATGATTTAGTTAGATTATTTTTCGCAGTTCCTTCATTTAAGTTAAGTATTAAGTTAAGGTCACACGATTTGCACATTTGTACAGATTGGTACATTTTCACAGTTACAGAGTGGTGTTGTTTGGAAAGTTGTTATCGACCTGAACTCATTCTCGATTAAAATTTCTAGACAATACCACTCACTGCCAAAATGTACAAATCGTGTGATCCCTGCTTTAGTCATAATGCGTACACATTTGCTGTGCCACTTAATTTCGCAGTGTCACACTACTTATTGGAGTGCACAGCTGTATGTCGGCGCTGTAGTCCATTTTTTCAGCTGTGCATACCTTTCTTTTTGTTCTGAAGGCATTTGAAACTGTATATGGCGCATATGTACATTTGTATGTATATGTGCCTGAGGTACAACCTCATGCATAGCTTGTCATTTTTACGTAGAAATCAACAACCGACACACTTCTACATACACCTGCGTTCAACTAATTAGAAACGAAATTCAAAAGGATATTGTTTGCAAATTATGTTTATTTTTTATTTTTTATCTGTTACAGAAGCCACAATAATAAAAGTTTCAAAGCTTGCATAAATTTCAGAAAAAAAATTAATAAACTTTAAAAAATTGTCATCGAAATTTCCAAATTTTTAATCAGAATATTTAGAAAATTTCCATTTTCTTCCATATAACACCCGCAACACCCCCCACAAAAAAAAACTCCAAAAAAGCAACGGTAATTTTTAACGGCTGGAGACATGCACTTTCTCCGACTACAATTGAATGGGCTACAGAACTGCATACCCGAAAATTGTCTAACTATTCCGATTTAAAATGTGGAAATTTTGATGACAATTTTTTGAAGTTTGATAATTTTTTTTTTGCAATTTTTGCAGGCTTTGAAATTTTTATTATTGTTGTTTCTGTTACAGACTGAATTATATTTTAAATGAAAATTATTAAAAATAAACTTAATTTGCAAACAATATCATTTTCAATTTCGTTTCTATTTAATTGATCGCAGGTGTAATGTGCGTTGGGTAACCGCCCTGCAGAAAATCTGACTAGCTCAGAACTAGCGTAGAACTAGACCTTTTGCCGACAGTACTAGTTCTAGCTCATTACCCCAGCAATGCTTTCAATTGTCCAGTTTTACACGGCGATGTCATTGGCGGTGGAAATTGTCGCCCAGTGATTTACTTTGCAATTAGTTTTTAACCCGTTCCGTTTTGGACAGTTTTTTTTTTATAAGAAACCTTGTTTAAGAATAGATTTTTGGATATTTTTTTCGTTTTTTCTTTTCTCTTACAGATTCAATTTTGTGTTACATTTTTAGACTGTCTATAAAATTTACTGTAGGGCGCTTACACGCAAATCTCATTTAACAGATTCCTCATGTGACAACTGTCATGCAATGCCAAGTATGCATAACTGAGCCATTAGGTGCGTTTTTGTATTAGTTGCGTTAAGGTTTCTATGATATCGCGTTGCGCCTGCGCATTGTAGCAGATCAGTATACAATCGGCGGGAATTTGAGCGAATCAGCTGTGCCCAGCTACACACAAACGTATGTACTAGTACATAAACAGTACTTACAACCCCATTTTCTTTCACTGTTACCTTCCCTTTATCACAGCACTCGCGTATTAGGTTCAGCAGCTCGTTTCCCTTTATTCTGGCACGTTCGCTTTTATTCTAGCTTGGTGTTTAGTTTGAAGCGGTTCTATATACATACATATAGTGAATCAAAGCGTAAAAACTTCGTTACTTTTACGCGCATATTTTATGTAGGTTTTCAAAACGCATACATACATACTTATTTATGTATATACTAGATATTTTGCTATAAATTAGAAACAGTTTTCGCCAAGTGAAATCTTTATTGTAAAAAGTGTGCGAATCTCTAGAGTCTAGAGACGTCAGTCAGTACAGTTTCTGCTTGATAGCTGTATCGCTGCATAATCCCATTAATTATTGTTGTAAGTTTAACACTTTGCGTGTCATAATCAATTTGTGTAATAAACTAATTTACAAAATGTTGGAAAAATACTTAGTTATCGATTAAGATGTGCGGTTGCTACGTGTGTTGTATTGTTGATTGTTTACTTTTGCATCGACAATGAGCTAAAGTCATAACGAAAGTGTTAACAGTGAATTCATGCAGCAAATATTCATATCAACATACATACATACATATACATTAGACTGCATCACCAAAAAAGTTGCGGTTTTACCGCCGGGATTACAAAATTTATTATATTTTATGACGTCCACCAAAATATTTCGGAAAGAATATTAAGATTTAAGTGAGCTGGACCGACTTAAAAATATCTCCAAAAATGGAGTTCTTTAAGAATAAAAATAGTTTCTTAGAGAACTTTTTGAAAAAAAGTCCCCTCAGATGGCAAAACAGATTAGGCTTAAAAAATCTGCCTAAAAATATTTAAAAATCTTTTCAACGGAATCGTAATAATGAGATTTTTGATACTGTTTTTTTTTTACTTTTATCAAAGATTGATTTACGAAAAACTTTTAATAACTTGGCGAAGGCTATTCTGATTTAGACTTATGGGATTATCTCAGTAGAAAGGTATTTTCCCAAATTTTATTTTTTTTCAAATACCAACACATCTTAATTCAACTTTAAATGACGTTCGTTCATCCTACCTTTCTTTTCATCCTTTGAATGAGTTTATTAGCAAATAAATACAAATTGTGAAGAAAAAACCTTTCCAATGACATCCTACAAGTCTAAATCGGAAGAGTTTAGGTTCTCAGTTATTCAATTTTTATGCAAATTTTTTAAGCTTAACCCGTTTTGTTATTTGAGGGGATTTAAAAAAAAAATTCTCTAAGAAACTATTTATATTTATTTTCAAATCGTTGCAGCTCACGTAAATCTTAATATTTTTCCGAAATATTTTGGTGGACGTCTTAAAATATAATAGATTTTATAATTCAGTCTATGATTTATTCAGTCTATGATTTACAATCTTACTGACTAGAAATAGGCTAAAAAGTGTTAAAAGTGACTAGTATGTGTACAATTACGAAAAATAGGTTTCGAGAGACTTCTTGGAAACGAAAAGTCGATATCTAAACTCTTTTATTTCCTTTTATTTTTTATTATGGGCCCTATGCGCCGCGACCTCTAAAGTGATCTATTGATCTTCATTTAATTTTGATACAAATTAAAGTTTCAAACTTTCTACAAAGAATATAAAAGTTGAAAAAATTTTCACCGCATAGTAGTTTCATAACAAATTAATGAATATTATAAAATAAACAAAAGAAAATGTGTTAATACTGAGGATCAAAAGGGGAGCAACTTGAGTGACCGGTCCTGTATGTACATATATGTATGTACATATTTTCAGATATGAAGAAATTTGAAATATACGGCATTTTTCATAAAAATTCATGTATTTATTTATGGATGAATGAGTATTAGGGATGTGCATATTTTTTGCCATCAGAAATTTTTGTTCTCAGCGTCTAAAAATAGTATTTACTATGATAAATTAAAATGCGTAAAATATCCATAGAAGATGCGAGCAGGACAAGACCAGAAAGCGTTTAAACTAATGGCTTTATTCATAAAAAAAGTAGCTTTATAAAAGGTTTATAAATTGAAAAATGTATGAAAACGTCAATTTATAAAGCTCTTTAAACCTACTTCATTTTTTATGAATAAGGCCATAAGTATTTATTATAATTAGTAATGAAACAACAAAACTTCGAATTGTTGTTTGGTGAACCAAAAAAGTAACTTATCGGCAGTTCAAATTAAATCGATATCCTTTAAGTCGTGATCAGTGAAAAATACTTTAACGGGACTCATAACCATACCAAATACTACATTTAACCATCAGTAAATTTATGCAAATACAATATGACTCATATATAACTCCCTTGTGGCTCAACTTAATTTTAACCGCTATACAATTTATGACATACGACATTACGACATGTTACGGCACCTTGTGTGAAACCACTATGTATTTGTTTTTATTTTCTTACTCCTTCTACCTCTGTTTATTATTTATTTCATTGCCCTATTTTTTAGTAAAATTATTTTCCATTTTTGTTTTAGATGTCGTTAACGAAAAAGGATCCTACACTGCGCGTTGCTGCCAATGATCCACATTTGGTCAGTTTAGGAGGTGGACGTTTGAGTACGGCAGTTACTATACATTACATACCCATAGGTAAGAAGAACACATGAAACGTGTTTTGTCAATATGTTTCTCTTCTAACGAATTCTTACCAAGGTAATAAATAGTAACCCTATCGCAATGTTTTTTTTTAGATAAAAATATTTACATAAGTTCTAATTAAAAGATTAATAAATGGGTATGCGTGCACAGTGCCATAAGCGGGAGAGGGGCCAACTAATCGAATTACGAATAATTTTGGAAATTTAATTTGGTATCCGGGGCTTTTTGAATAAAATGAATGAAAGAACAAAAAATAATTTTGGGGAAAAGTACTAATTGGGTAAAACAGCGTATTTTCGTATTGTAGTAACCAAGCTTTGTGATTAACAATAGGTAAGGCAATTATAGATTGGTATCAAATCAAATATATGAATACACAGCAGAAAAGTTTCATTTTTTAAAATTGGGCGAAAAATGAATAAAGACTTTGGAGAAACAAGTACCTAAACTACTCAAGTCTCCAGATAGGGTTCTGACAGATCTTTCTGCACTATCTAAAGAATTGACTCTTCTTTATACATATATTGTTCGCTGTTGTGTATGTAGGAAACAATGATTTTCTTTTAGTTCAAATTATTAGATAAGCACTATTTTCTTACCATCTAGTAAAAATTGTTAATAAAGTGAAATGCTTCCAAACTTGTAGGTTTTTTTTTTATAGATTTCTCAATTTTTTTCGGGACCTTTCGGGAGTCTTAATCTTTTGCTTTCCATTATTTTGCCGAGTACTTTTGCGGTTGTTCGTGATTTTATGGGATTGGCGTGACTTTCGTGTTTTTCGCATATTTCGATACTTTTTAGGGATTTTCCGGACGTTTCGGAATTTGTTCCAGACTATACGGCTATCTTCGTGTTTTATTTTTAAGAAACTTTCGAGATC